GCAGCACTGATTCCAGCAAAAAGAAACAAGACATTGATATCACTGGGAAACATGTCTCTGTACAGATCCTTGTGTATGGTTTTTAAGGAAACCTAGAAGCATTTCCAACTCATCAGGTTCAAGTGGAGCAACTTTATTCTTTCCAACCCATACTAGATTCCATTTTCAGCACTCATCAAGAACATACTTCTGGATACTCAAAGGTGATTCATTGTCATAAGCTTCAAGAGCTTTACAGATCCTTTCTGTCAATTTGGCATTTCATGTACATGTTTATAAACAGTTCATCTTTGTTCTTGGATCACATGAAAGCCATCATTTCTTTGTCAATGGAAAAGCATCAGCACATGGAGGAAGCAGAATAAGAGAAAATCTGTTCTTAATTGGCAGAATTATGATATAGCCCTTTTTAGTATAGTAGCATGGAAATGCCTCGAATCTACAAATTCTGGCTCTACATCAAATAAGTATTGTGATATCCTAGTCCAAACATTAACTGAAAAATGAATTTGCCAATAGCATCTTCTGGAAGTGTTCTTTGAGTTATCTGATCTGGTTTGGCAGAACCAATCATTGAATTTGGAAGATGAATGTACTCATAGCATCTTCTGGAAGTGTTCTTTGAGTTATCTGATCTGGTTGGACAGAACCAATCATTGAATTTAGAAGATGAATTTGCCAATAGCATCTTCTGGAAGTGTTCTTTGAGTTATCTGATCTGGTTTGGCAGAACCATTGAATTTAGAAGATGAATGTTCATAGCATCTTCTGGAAGTGTTCTTTGAGTTATCTAATCTGGTTTGGTTGAACCAATCATTGAATTTAAAAGATGAATTTGCCAATAGCATCTTCTGGAAGTGTTCTTTGAGTTATTTGATCTGGTTTGGTAAGAACTACAGAACCAATCATTGGAATTAAAAGATGAACTGCATGATCGTCTTCATTAAGAAGTTTCTTTTCAAGCTTCTTTTGCTTATTCCTTTCCCAAAAATCATAGCCCAAGTTTCGCCTTTTCTTGTAATTGGGATCATTGCATAATGGCTTCCCATCTTGTACCGAAAGAAATGTGTCAGTAACATTAGTCATTTGAGCAGCACATATAAAATCTATCAATTTTGCAATTGATGAATCTGGACCACGTTTCTTCAGGGCTATTTGATGTTTCAGCCTCTGAGAATCCCATTTTTGTCAAGTATAACAGTTTATTCTCCTCATCAGAATCAGAATTCAAGATTTCTCGGTATTAGAAGAACTATCGATATCTGTGAAATCATATTGAAAGGTCACTTCATAATCAGATGAATTGTTATCAGAATCAACATGTTGCTTGAATACAAGCTTTTCAAGAGCCTATACTATTGAGTTTTATTCTCAAGAGGTTTTGTGACATAATATCTACATCTACATTTGTCAAAGAGGATAGATTCTCTGATTTGAAGAAGAAAGATCTATTGGGTTTTTACAATTGAAGAAATACTCAATTCACCAATTTGAAATCAAACAATTTAACATTCATGCATCATATTTAGGCATTTTCAAAAATAGATGCATTTTCATTCATTTTTATTCTTGTTGAATTTCTAACATGAATTTCAAAGATTTTAGCAAAGATTCAAATCTATCATTTGATGGATTGACATTTCCAGAGAAGGTTCATAATGAGAAGAACTCATCTGAAGAAGGAAGAAGAAATTCATAATGAGAAGAATTTGTTCAACCTTTTACCTGAATTCATCAAATTGATGGATTGACATTTCCAGAGAAGGTTCATAATGAGAAGAACTCATCTGAAGAAGGAAGAAGAAATTCATAATGAGAAGAATTTGTTCAACCTTTTACCTGAATTCATCAAATTGATGGATTAGCTTTTCCAGAGAAGGTTCATAATGAGAAGAACTCATCTGAAGAAGGAAGAAGAAATTCATAATGAGAAGAATTTGTTCAACCTTTTACCTGAATTCATCAAATTGATGGATTAGCTTTTCCAGAGAGTTCATAATGAGAAGAACTCGTCATCTGAAGAAGGAAGAAGAAGTTCATAATGAGAAGAACTTGTTCAACATTTTGCTTGAATTCATCATTTGATGTATCAACATTGCCAGGTAGAGTTCATAATGAGAAGAACTCATCTGAAGAAGGAAGAAGAAATTCATAATGAGAAGAATTTGTTCAACCTTTTACCTGAATTCATCAAATTGATGGATTGACATTTCCAGAGAAGGTTCATAATGAGAAGAACTCATCTGAAGAAGGAAGAAGAAATTCATAATGAGAAGAATTTGTTCAACCTTTTACCTGAATTCATCAAATTGATGATTAGCTTTTCCAGAGAAGGTTCATAATGAGAAGAACTCATCTGAAGAAGGAAGAAGAAATTCATAATGAGAAGAATTTGTTCAACCTTTTACCTGAATTCATCAAATTGATGGATTAGCTTTTCCAGAGAGTTCATAATGAGAAGAACTCGTCATCTGAAGAAGGAAGAAGAAGTTCATAATGAGAAGAACTTGTTCAACCTTTTTCTTGAATTCATCATTTGATGTATCAACATTGCCAGGTAGAGTTCATAATAAGAAGAACTCGTCATCTGAAGAAGGAAGAAGAGTTCATAATAGAAGAACTTGTTCAATAATTCTATCACATAAAGAGATAGATTATCATCAGCCTTTCTGGAGAAAGTTCATAATGAGAAGAACTCATCAAGAGTTTATTCAACCTTTTGAATGACTCTATCACAAAAAGAAATAGGTCAACATCATCCCCAGCGGAAAGTTCATAATGAAAGAACTCATTTTGAAAGAAAGAGAAGATTTATTCAATCTCCATTATGATCAAGTGAAGCCAAATGGATAAAAATTTATTATCTTTTCATCTTTGCCCTATTCTTGTTACACAAGAATGAGCAAAGAGGGGCAGCTGAAGATACTAATTTTTACCCATATTAATTGATTATTATTATTATTATTATAATTATTATTATTATTATTATCATCATTATTATTATTAAATATATTAAATACATATATAAATATTATTAAAAAATAATTAATTACAAAGCCCAATCAACCGGCCCAAAACCCAAACCAAACTGAAACCCAAAACATTTAGGGTTTCAGTTAGGGTTTCCTAACCCTAATCCCATGCTCAGCCGCCTCTAGCCAGCCGCCTCAGACTGACCGTTGGATCTGGTACAATCCAACGGTCCAAGAGCCTCCAGATGGAAACCCTAGGGTATGATACCCTAGGGCCACACGGCCGTCGCTGCTGCTCTCGCCGCCTCCGCCACTGCCACGTCCCAAATGAAGACTCCAGAAGACCCAACTGCCCTCCACACGCCATGGCTAAGGGTAAGTCACCACTGGTAGTCCGGTGACTCACCGAAACCCCCTCTTCGGACCAGTCCGACGGCCACACCGGTGGTGGCTATAAAAGCCACCACCCGAACCTGAAAAAAAAACAGAGAGGACGGAAACAGAAACACAAACACAGAGAAAAGAAAAAAATATATACAGAAAAAAAAACTATTACCAACGATCTCAGCAGCAAAGAACCAGAAAAGAAGAAAAAAGAAGAGAAGCTTACCGAGGAAGCCCCGACCACCGGATCTCACAAAACCTTCGAACAACCGAAGGTACTTTTGTAGATTTGCTCCGATTAGGAGCCTTTAGAAGAAAAGAACATCGGGACCGTCCTTAGGACGGTCCGATCTATTAATGGTTGAAAATAAAATTTCCGGCCACCAGATACGGTGGCCGGCGGTGACGGTCACGGCGGCAGACAGTTGCCGTCCGATGACCGGCTTCCCTCCGATGAGGAAGCTAGAGAGAAGCCAGAGCTCTCTCTGCTTGAGAGAGAAAGAAAAAGATGAAATGAGGCTGGCCCTTCGGCCAGCCGTTTTGGACCTTTTATAGGCCTTCCCGAACGACGTCGTTTCGGGAAGGACTATGCGCGTAATTAGATAATAGTTAAACCCCGTCCGTAGTCCTTCTAACTTGTAAACTTTACATTTTAGTCACTGAATTGAATTTATAATACTTTTAATTTGATCTCGAGATTTTAATTTTATTTATTTTAGTCCTTTTTATTAAAATAATATATTTAGGATAAATAACAAAATTAATCCCTTAATTTTAATAAATAATATTTGAATCCCTAGTTTATATTTTTAATTTATTTTATTATAATATCCAAATTTTAGATAATTTTATTTTAGTCACTAAATAAATAAAATAAAGAAATAGCATGTTTAATCCCTAATATTTTGATTAATTATGAATTAGGTTTTTAATTTTATTTTTACTATAATTTAGTCATTTATTTTAAATATATCGTTCTAGTTGTATTTTTATTGTTTTAATTTTACTTGTTTATTTATTTAAATATTTTTATAGTAATAAATATATATATAATAAATAAATATTTATTTCAAATAAATTATTTTAATATTTATTTTCAATATCGAAGAAAATGACAGTCTTAATACAACTGGATGTCCTATTCTGGTATTTTAAATTAAATATTATAAAAAAAAATTATTATTTAATTTTATGTAATTAATCAATATCAAAGAAAAGAGCTGTCTAAGGCACCTAGAAGTTCTTTTCTGATATTTTTAAATAAATAAATATTTTTTATATAATTTTGAAATAATAGGATTATAAATTAAATATATTTTGAATTTTGAATTTTAATAATAGAGACAATTTATAATTAAAAGTACCAATTTTGGGCGTTGTAGGGGTGCTAATCCTTCCCTAAACGTAATCGACCACGAATCCCTTTTTATTATTAAAAGAACGAATTTTGGTTATAAACGCAGATCAGTTCATTTTTTATTAGTGTTTTCTTAAAACTCTTTTAAAAAATAACTTTTAGGTATTCGACCTACCTGACCCAAAAGGCCGATGGCGACTCTCAAATTATTTTCAAAAACATTTATTCACATCACTTTTCCCGTCAAGTAAATATTTCGTGCCCGGACGAAAACCGGTTACGACAACCTTCTTATCTAAATTCTTTGCCACGAATTCAGTTGCTTTTGAACCTCCATGCCCATCATAAACACCAAAGAAAGCCTGAAAAAAAACAAGCCGCTAAAATTTCAATTATGCAAAGATTAAATGGGAAATTTGCATTTGTAGTCCCTGTCAAAAATTAATACTAACTTTATTTTAGCCTTTTTCATCACAGAATCCCAATTTTTTTTCTAATTCTTAGTTTCTACCTTAAATTTTCTATGCATTTAATGTAAAATGATAGAGAATGTTTGATTCAAAGAAGAAACTTAGAGGTAAAAAATACCTGTTTGGGATATCCGTCAAGATCAACGGCAGCAGAGTAACGGTCTTCCATTTTCCCTCTCCTTCCTCCCTTACAATAAACAGAATACTCGTCCCCTTCCACCTGAACCTCCTCCTCTCCTCTAGGCGTCCTTCTTTATTTTCCTTTTTTTTTTCCTGAAACAAAAGTAATGAAAATAGGGAGAGAGTTTCATTACCTTGGTTGTAGGATAAACTTGCCGGAGCATTTCCACCAACGTTGGTCGTTGGAGTTAACAAAATCGAGAGATCGAGGCTCTTTTTTAGAGCGTTTAGGGTCATTTTTTGAACTCCTAATCTTCGGGTTTGGTGTTAGGAGAAGAGATTAAAACTTTTGGGGGTCGTTCTGGGTATTTAGGGTCCGTCCGGCCACCACTGATGGTGCCCGGTGGCGTTTTTTTGACAAAGTCTGCAACGTTGGTGAGAAGAGAAGAATGGAGAGTATCTGAGTGAATTTTTTAGGGTTTGCACGCAAAATGAATCAAAACAAAAAAAAAAGATGGATTTTATAACATAAGTGTAGGGATTATTTCTCCTAGGGTCCCTTCACTATTGCCATGTTTCTACAAAATGATTATCTGTTTGTTCTTTTTTTTATTTATTGTATTTCGAATTTACATGCCCTATTTATGTTATATTTCCTTTTGTTTTCATGCGACTTGTAATGGTTTAGAAATAGAAATTCATGTTTAGATCCCCATATTTACCCACAGATTTCTATGTTCGTCATTTGTTTTATTATTTTTAATTTAATTCAAAATACTTGTCCTTATTTTGCTATTTCCTTTTTTTTTATTTGTTTATTAGAGTTAGCTTTGTGGATTATTTACGCTTACAATCCGTCCAAGTTTTAGCATATATCAATTGAGCCCCTCGACTAGTTTGAATGCCTTTTAATTTTATCTGTTTTTTACCTTTTATTTTTGTATTTATTCAAATTTCGTCACCATTATTACGCTTTTTCAGTCTGCATGTTTATGTTAACTAAGATTTTTATTTATATCATGATATATTAGGCGTGTATTAATACCTTATTAATGTTTTAAATACGCTTGTTTATTGCTTTAAATAACGTAGTTTGTCGTCTGCCATTTATTATGATTTAGTGTAATATTCCACTCTTTGTTTTATTGGATTTTTTAAGACCTTAATTAGTGATCACCCATCTTATTTTTCCATTCACCATTATTTCTAATTTTATTGTATTTTATTTTAATTTTTTAAAGAAAACTCTCCAGTGGTCTTTATGATTCTGATTCATTTTTTTAATATTTTAGTTTTTTAAAAAAAGCTCAACTCATGATCTTTATTATTTATGATTTCGTTTTGTTAGATTAAAATTTTGATCTAGCTTGATTGTGTTTCCTTTTTATAATTAGTTTACCTTTTATTTTATATTTATGTTTGTATTTTATTTACTTGTTTCACAACATTTATGAGTATGCATTTTTTTTTATCTTCTTTTAAATTTAGGTTACTTGACCTTAGATTAACTCACAGGTTTAGTTTTTTTAATTAGTCCCAATGAACACTTAGATTTTAGATTTAAAGCCTCCATCTTATTGTTTTTATAATTTAAGAGTTTTATAATTTAATTTTTTATGACACTTGTTTTATAATATTAGTTTTTTTTATATAAAAGAGTACTATTTTATATTTTAAAAATTATTGATGTTATATGTATCTAAATATACTAAAACTTTATGGGTATTTCTATGATCAAGTATAAATATCTATTTATTTCCTAAACACTTTGATGTAACATCATGAAAATCATCGAAGTATAAAAAATCATCTGCTCATTTCTTTTAACGATTTATTATTTTATGTTTTACTCTAAAAAAAACTTTGAATGTAAGATAATCTAATAAAGAATAATGACAATAAAATAAAAAAAACACAAAAAACTCTATAAATTACATTATTTAATAAGGTTGTTAGATTATCTTATTTTTAAACATTAACTGACATAATTTCATGACGTCTTTTAAAATCATTACATAAAAAAAAGATAAAACAAGTGACAAATAATTAATTTTGTCATGTTAAAACTATTTTTTGTGACAATAATAAAATGTCACTTTTAGTGTCTTATAAAATATGACAAATTAAATTGTCACGAATAAAACTTGTTAGTGACAAATGTGTAACGCCACTAATTCAAATTCAATCTTCATTATAAGAAATCGTCACTAATACATGTTTTTTCATTGGAGACGATTTTACAACGTCATTATTTTATTTAAATGTCATTAAAAGGTTTCCCACCAAAGAATTTGTGGGAAGATTTTGGCGCCAAACATATAGTGACAAAAATCAATGACCATTTTTAAAATTGTCATAAAAGATATACCATTAATCAATAAATATGACGAAAATAAAAAAAAGGTCAAATTATAGTATGTTTTGTGACGATATACGTAATGTCATATAGAATTTTTGTCATAAATTGACAAATTTGTTGTAGTGATGAAGTGCATAGTCATCTCAACTCCATCGAGACCAACTTTGCAAGATTTTGTCTTACCTCTGCCCGGGTACCTCTCATTGCGGCCGCGACTGTCATTAGACACAAGGAGTATTTCTATTCCTTTTCTTATGCTTTAATTTTTCATATTAGGACAATATGCTTTAAGTGAGGGGGTAGAGACTGATTGCGTTGGTTTTCTCTCGCTTGTTTATATGTTTGATTTGAGTTGCCTTAGTTGAGATGTTTTATTACCAATCTTGACTTTTGCCTTGTTTCATTGATTACCTTATGAGTTTGTGATCTCGCTTTTATCAGAATTAGGGTGCATGATAGTAAAATGGTTTGACTAGTGTTTACTTTAAATTTTGCTTGATATCTCATACGTTTGCTGATTGATATGTTTCTTGACTCGATACACATTACACTTTCATGTGAAGTTTGAGTTTAAATGAGTATATTTTTATTCTTGGTCATTTGTTTGATTGAGTGTTCTAGACTAATGTTGGTATTCTAGAACTTGTGAGTAAATGCATATTGAGACTACATGTTTTGAACTTGACGCTTTAATATGATAGGGGAATTTTGGATTTACCCAATTCTCTTCCCAAAATTGCCTACCCATATATGTATATTCATTAGTGAATCAATTTTGTGTCTTTACCCGTTCTTTGTTTTTATCACATTGGAAAAAACTGAAACCTTTTTACTTTTTATTTTTACCCTCTTTTGTTACCATTTTCAAGACAAAGATTGATTTGTTCCACAAAAAAAACAAAAGAAATGATTCGAACAATATTCTAACACAACCGAAAAATGATATATATATATATATATATATATATATATATATATATATATATATATAAAGAAAGATTGAAAAAAAGGGAAATTGGTTGTTTGATTTTTGCATTTGTTTACTTGGTTTATTTTGTGCTTGAACTTATATATTTTTATATCTCTTGTCTTGATGTTTTCACCCTATGTTTGGCCATTTTTCTCTATCTTAACCAAAGCCTCGTTACAGCCTTTTCAAAGACCCTTTGACTAAATGCATCTTGTTCACTTTAGTGGTGGAGACTTGATTTTCTTATAAGCATATGATAATGTCATATTTGATTTCGGCTTGAGAGATTTCTTTTACTCAAAACACTATGAGCGAAAATGAGTTAATCTTTATGAGGTATTGAGTATTGTTACAATGAAATTGATGGATAATTGAGATATCTTGTTTTGCCTATACTTGTTGCCAGTTGTGCCTTTTATTTACTTGACACTTTGCTTCCTATAGTTGTTGTGATCATGGACTAATTTGGTATTCTTTGATATATTGTGAGATAACAGATGATAACTTGAGATTTTGAGATTTGATTAAGGCATGCTTGAGGTCAAGCATTGAATAAATGAGGGAGAATTTGATGAGTGTTTTTTTTTATTATTTTATTGTTAATTATTCCTTGTTGATTCCTTGATATAATTAGTCCTTGTTGATTCTTTGATATTGTTGATTTGGGTTTTTTTATTCATTTTTGCACATGATTTTAATTTCTAGAAAATAACTTTAAACGAGCATGTTCTGTAGCTTTTTTATTTTTAGAATCAAGGTTGGGCACATGAGCAAGACTTGGGGCTTGACGATGACTGGAGTGGCAGATTCTGGTAGTCCAGTCAGTGATAGTTTCTAGAAGACGATACAGTCAGCAACATCTAGAAGGAAGGACGAGCGGATGACAATTGCTTAGGAATTAAGATTTAGTTTGAATTTGAATGTTTTGGAATTATCAACTTATTATTTAGGATTTCATCTTTCAATTATTTAGGTTTTTATTTGAATATATTATTATGATTATCTTTAGGTTATCTCAAGCTATAAATACATCTTAGGTTAAAGCTTGAAGGAGGTACTTGGCTTTCATTTGTTCTTGGGTTTTCTTTTACTTTAATAAAAGTTTGCTTCCTTTTTCAACTTCGTTTTTATTTTAAGTTATTATTTTACTTTCTTTAAAATATATTAAGTATGATTTCTATCATGCTTGGCTAATTTTCCAATTACCCGATGGCTTATCGATTACTCAACTCGTTTCATGAGAATTCAAAAGCAATTCATACCTTCGGATATCTTTTTTGATTTTCTACAAACTTGGATTGAGAATCGATCTTTCCTTTAAAAATCTTATCACTTTCAATTCAAAAAGCACATATTGGTTTGATTGATGTTCTGATTTACCGTTGGGGAGAAGAGTTGGCTTGTAGCAAATTCAACTTCCTAAGAACACACTTAGTAGCGATCTGCTAAGGGAAATTGAGATTAGATTCGATTGACACTAAAATCTGAGCACAGTCTTTTCTAACACTTAAAATTACTTTGGTGTTAACGAAGATAACCGTAGTCAATCCAAACAAGGACTGAATTCTGAAGATTGACTTTGAAAATTAGTTTACCATAGAGAATAGTAAGTTACAAAGGTTGGGCCTTGTAGACTGTAATCGGCAAGAATCTCGAAGTACAATTTCTTTTAGTGATCGAGACAAATTGAGACGAAGCGAAGCTGGAGGCTATCCTTCATCATAATTATTTTCAACAATTACTTTGATTCATTAATTTATTTTTTTTACTTTATTCAATTTATTTAATTGTCTTT